CCAATCATCGGTGAACGAAACTGTGGCAGCTACAACCAGTGTACGACCAGTACGCGGTTATTACAGCTGATAATGATGATGATGATGATGACTGGCCAGAAAGTCACGGGTTTGAAACTCTGAGTTCTATGAGGTACGCACTGCCGATGATGGTAAGGACAAAACACCTGTAGAGTGCTCCTCGGGTTTTCAGCATAGACTGGTCTCACTGTCTGGAAGAAACCTCACTCGGAACTTAGTGAGAAAAGTTTTCTTTCTGACTCTCACCATAGCTTGTTTGTGTATTCTATAACTATATATGTACACACGTATGTATCTGAAGACAGCATTGGTTGCTCAGGTTGCAATAATAGTAATTGATTTGTTCGCCGCGTTGGACGGTTTGGTTTCAAACGTCGAGATGACACCGCCAGTATCTTTAGATGAGTGTCGTCGTTACTGCCGGAGCTATCAATATTCTTTCCAACAACAAACCATTTTGGGCGTGCAACGCACAGACAGGAGAACTTCGCCCGTCTCCAACAACTTTACTTCCTTACTGAGTGCTTTCGAAGAAACATACTTCCACGAAGCATCAACCGTAGACCTGCTTTAGGCTCTTCGGATGCCTGGACCTTGGTGCGGTAATATTCAGAAGAATGCTGAAATCGATTCTATCAGATGCCCTTAGTCGTGTGGTGAAATATGAAAGAGTCGAGTTTTTCCACCCACAATTCACTGATAATGTCACTTCAACTGGTAGCGAAATGTCTGCAACCAGATTGCCTGGCTCAGCGAACAAATCAAATGTCCACACTATATGTATAGTATATTAAGCAAGTGAAACGCCGAAAACCCGAAGAGTAGGGAAATTTACCGACATTCTGTTGATCGAGGACAAATATGGCTATTTTTGCCTCTGATGCCCGATTCTGAGCCCTGACTTGAAGTTTTATGTATTTTTGTGCCTCTCTACGTACATTTGGTTTCATTCCCTTAGGTTTAATGGCTTTCAAGGCACTGTAGCAATCGTGTAGGGAGTGCTCGCATAGTTTTCGATCCCTCCTCATAGTCTCAGTGTTGGGATGTAATCCACTGACTGAGGTTCATAAATTGGATCCATCCTTGGCGCTTTAGGCCGCTTCTGTTTAGTATCACGCCAAATTCCTCCAGGTTATGAATAGGCTCTTTCCTAACTGGATAAGAAGTTGAATTTTTAGCGTTAAGTTCGTTTGTCTGCTGTAAATAAGAAGTCGCATCAACTATGCAGACCATATGCAGCTTCTGGTTCATAATCGCATCCACATGCTGAGGCCAAAACCAGTGGGACGCCAAAGTTGAAGGAACCCAAGTCATTTTTCATTGAATCAGATGTTTACCAGATCACTGAGTGGGGAAGCTATTAAGCTGCCCCCCCCCCCCCTACACACAATGTATGGGACTGGGTAGATCAGTTGTGTTGGTGGCATCTAGAACGGGTGCATACTCGTTTCCAAGAATCAGACAGTTCCAGCATCAATATACACAGCGACCTTTGATTTTCTTGTGTTGGCGATCGTGAGCTTCCAAAAAGCAGCCGTTTTGCTTGACTTATCGAAGGTTAAAAAATATGGATAATGTCCGGCTGGGCTTTCGTACGCGACGAGTTGAAGCGAGTTCTCTAGTCCATCTAAGATGCTGAAGCACACTTGTTGATAGCACAAATCGTGTTTGCACCTATTCTAGTGCCCTGCTACCGTGACCAAGCCAGGCGTTCCATGCCTACACCACATATGCAGTATATAGTCTCAGGTATTTTATCAACAGTATTATGTAGCGGTCTTTCGAGTGATTCTGGTACTCAGTTTTGCAGTCCATCTTGGCTATGATGGAAGCCCTTCAGCAATCTTTCACACTATGTAAGAGTCTCATCCTCGGTGTGGTGCAAACTGTAAGCCTAGGTTGCACGGGCGGCGGTTGGAGAAACGCGCGGCTTAAATGGCATATTCTTCCGTCAGAATGCAGCTGAATGTCTATCCACCATCGTTAGCCTTTAGGATAGTCTAGTATTTCGGGATGGTCCAGATCACTATTGTATGGGCACATAGGGTATCGGGAAAGAAGCAGACTACAGAAGGATCAGCTTGCTGATCCTTCAACACAACCAGAACAGAGGAAGATTACGCTGCCGTATATCAGAAACGTGGCGGAGATGATTGCACGACATCTATGGCAATATGGAATTACAGTCGCCTTCAAGCTTACAAACACGTTGAGAAGAATACTCTCGAAACCAAAGGGAAGGTTGGATGCTTTGAAGAAGACTAACGTGATTTACAAACTTAAGTGCAACGACTGCGACAAACATGTTGACCAAACAGGAAGAAAACTTGCTACCAGAATACACGAACACAAGCCTGCCAGCAGAAGACATGACCCAATGTCACTTGTCTCAATTCACGAAGACAGAGAAGGACACAAATTCAATTGGGACAGTATTCAAATACTGACTCACGCAAGAACGAAACGGGAGCGAGAATTTGCCGAGGCGTGGTACTCCACACAAAAATCGGCCAATAAACACATCCACATTGACCCAGTCTATCAGCCGTTACGAGCAAAAACCACACAGTCACGGAACTCTGAGCCGAGAAACCTAACGACCACCAACGGACTAATCGGGTCAAAGGAAGGCAATCACTAAAAACAGAAGGCCGATGAATCCACCAATCAAGAAAATAAACTCACAAACAAACTCACACAAAGCAAGAAGAAAACGGCCGAATCACAGCAGAACAACCACACACAGAACTGCCGAATGGAATGCGCCCAACGAACCAACCAGACACAGGAGATTGAGACCACGTCAGATTCACAGGAGACCAATCGAACTACGCGAAAACCGTTTCCAGAACTACCAGATACTGTTTAGAAGCTATATACTCACAGGCAGAAGAGGAGGAATTCACCCACTCAACCCTGCACTGACGATGTCACCTCGATTGGTGATGAAACGTTTGCAATCCAACTGCCAAGCTCGGCGAAGGGACCAACAACCAAACAGCGCACCCGAGCTACCTACATTCCACAACATGGCTAATTACTTTACTCTATTACGAATGTGCATCCTGCGTTTCAAGTGGTGCTTCGAATTACTCCTGTCTGACACGTGCAGTTAGCCAATGCTCAGTCCCACTACATCATCCGGTGGATTACGTGACTGCACTGGAAGTCACAGTCAGCTTCCTTTGTTGAAATCCAGGACGACAGACTCATTAGGGACAAGAAGTTGGTCTAGCGCAAATAATATGTTTTACTCACTCGACTCGGTTCATACAAACAGGATCCAGAGCAATTTCAGCTTGTTGGCCTGAGTTGCTCACACACCAGAGTGCTTCTACCCTTACCACATACCCAGATTTCGAACCCTTGTGATTACTTAACACGGACTTTCCCTCTATGGTCATTTCAGTGGTGGATGAGGGTACGCGCCGAAGGCCGACGCACTGAAGAAGCTCATCCAGAATGAGGTTCCGTCTGCATCAGTGTTCGCTGAGAAAGGAAGAGCAAGTAAGTTTTGTTCATTTACGTCGATGCGGCTAAGAGAGTAAAACTGATAGGTTGATATAATCCTATTCTCCGCTGGATGTTCGAATGCGCGTCATATGGCACAAACAGTTGGAATGCCGTAAGTAGTTGGAAACTGGTGTGAATCCCTTGGAGACGGGCATTAGTCTGTGTTCGTAAGAGTTTCATGATGACGGCTTGCCGCACACAAGTCTATGAATTGGGAGGTGTTTAGTGAGTCTTGGAAATCAGTTTTCCTGAAGGTAATAATAATGGCTAAACTGGCTTGCAACAAAGAAAATATCACAAAATCGGACGGCAGTTGAGCGACGCTTTCAGTGTGAGAATACCTCACTTCAAACCGATATTCCTTGCTGTCGGTCTTCTGTTTTCCTCGATCCTCTTGTCCAGGTTTGGGCAACCTGGCAGTATCCCAGACCTCGTGCCTCCTTCCGTTGGCATGGCAGCTAAGCACCCAAAGGGTGCTACAGATGGAAGTTTTTTTATCCGATGCGCCGCTGACCGGCAGGTCATGGATACTATACTATTCACATGTGTGCGCCTTCTTCTATGCCATCTACTTCACAGAAAAGCTGGATATGGATGGGGTGTATTGTATCGCCAGCAGGGTCTACCCTATCGTCCTCCGTTCAGGCGTTTTACATAGCTCGGTTGCCAGGTATTCGAATAAGACATTCCACTTAGGCGAAATGACTCAGTGGTTGGAGCGCGAATTTACTAACCGTAAGGTCCGTGGTTCCAACCTGGTCTGTGCATCTCGGCTTCTCCTGTCTAGGCTTGGGCAACCTGGCAGTATCCCAGCCCTCGTGCCTCCTCCGGGCGGCATACCAGCTGGGCTCCGAAAGGGTGCTACACCCAGAACGTTTTTTCACATTGCCCGGCTGTGCCACCACTCAATCTCCTCCGAATGGGTCAAATCAATACAAGATTGCCGTTAATATAGTCCTCTCTAGGTTCCTTTATCTATCCTTGCTCTAAAGGACTCAAAGGAATTGCCTGCATTGTTCCCTATGAAGCTTCCGGAAATTTCACTTCACACATAGTCACACAAAAGCCAACTGAATTGGTAATTTTCTATTAGGGACCTCCCTACGCCTTGTGGACTGGACACTACTGATACATCACTCTCACCTGAGTGTTAGTGTCGGACTGCTAGCCATAGGGCGGCGAGTGCGAAGTATCCTAGAGGTTTGTGCACTGATAATGGTGTCAGCAGGGATGGAGCGTCTTTACAGTTCTATGCTCAGTATATATGTAATATAAATATAATATATACGTATATGTATGTACAGACTGACTCCATGTATGATGAAATTTCCAGTGAACATTTAACATTCCACTTCCAATAGGAAGCCAATAGCTTCGGAGGTGATTCCCGAAACTTATTTATTGCATTCACGCAGAAGTTTTTCTATTCTGTATGCATGGTAGTTAGACAACTGCTATCCCGAAGCCCCATGCTAACTTACTCAACTGCTACTATAGAATTCTCATCTGTAAGATATCATCACTTTATTCGGGGCTTCGTTTTTCGTCCCAATCAGCTTCCTTCGAAGTGTCAGTAGATGGAGTCCTCATCTTTTCGAAGCTACAGTGCGGTCGATTCCCGGAACAATCCGCGGTGAGTTACTCGCCCTCGTTTCCTTACTGCTGATTCCTTACCCGATGGCATTGATTTTTCCGTTCATGTGACTAAGTTGCATTGCACTATTTCCACCCCCGACTGAAGTGAGCGTGCGCCATGGGATTGTACTGCTTGATTATTCTAGGTACGGCAATGAAGCATCGGTGTTGAACATTGATGTCATGCTGTTGATGATTATTATTATCCTAGAAGAATGGGAATACTTAGCCGATCCGGAAACCCGGATACATCCAGCTTGGTCTGCATAGTTTCGCTCCTCTCAAGTTTGGCTCTTCGCATTCGCAATGTTGACATTCAAACTGATCATGCTCAGTTTCAAGTCGAATACTTCTAGGGATACAGTAAAACGATCCTGTGAAAACCCTCTACATTGTGTGAATGTGCACGCAGGAGATAGTGTTTTTTCTCTTCGAAATGTAACTGTCTTTCTAAAATCACAAAATCTTCTGATGACTCTGAGGCCGTTGTCGATGTTATATGCGACATCCGAGTGATGCTCATCTGGAAGCCTTAAGCTGAAACGATAAGTTGATGCATCTTGTTCAGCGGAACATTTTTACTGCCTAACCCTCCATTGGGTGACTGGAACTCAGTCTTATTGTTCCTTATGGTCCATCTTCTTTCGTTCAACCCTTTTGTCCACACTTTCCTCCCTGATTCTTATTTTGTGGCCGGAAATAAATTTGATCTTTGGTTATCATTTAGCGACGGTGACGAAGTTTTATTAGTCATTCAGTTGCAAATATGGTGCTTCAAAGGTATTCTGACAGCTTCAAATTCATACAATATTTGTTTGTGTACTACTTATCCTGGGTGGAATCCGTTCATTCTGTCCGAGTACGTCTCTTACATGTTTCACGACAATTCATCTCCTCCATGCTGTTTTCAGATTGTTGCTCAAATCGCCTCGATCTCGGAAGGTCGTCAACCAAAGATGGTCACCGTCTACGAGGCACCGTCCGGTTGTTCCGTTCTCTAGCCCTCCTGTTTATCTGGTCTTTCCATTTTCTGGGTTGTATGACGTTTCTTTGGTCAAATCTCAAAGTCTATCGAAGCCGATGTAGCGCCCAACTTCTATCTACCCTATCGCCTATTTTATGCACTTAGTTATGCACTTATCGTGGACTCAAAAGCACTCTCTTTACTCTTATTCCCTATCCAAGCCACAGTTTGACGTAATTAGTTTGTGATGATGTTGCAATTTCCGTGTGGATTCCAACTTGTTGTCCTGTCTGGTTTCACTTCTGTCCTAGTTTCAAATTTGGAATATCACATGGTTTTAGCAACAAAATTATGTTCATTCATTTGTTGGGACTACTGTTTCTTCTAGTTCCCTTTATTACCAGCCGCCGCATTCTGATCGGTTGGTGCTGTATTACATATTCGTACTGCTCTGTGATTGAAAAGGTGCATAGTTTAAAAAAAAGAAACGTGAAGTGTAAAGAAACTAGTGTGAGTCCCGGCGAAGTGCTCAGGGATAGAGCAATGTGGTTTGTTACGGGTTTTTAGTTAGCTGCGAAGTCAGATTCTGCTACTATGTACATAGTTGGGTGAAAAATGCATTACGAAGCACCGGAATCACGTGATCAGGTCAGGGCAACCCCACCGAGTCTCGTCCATATGTTTACATCCTTTGTTCCCCCTCGACAGACCTCAGCATTGACTGTCCGATATTGACATCTGACCTGAACAGTCTTTTGAATGCATCTGCTTCCGGTGAGCGGGTTTTGTACCAGTGCGGAGCGCGCTTTGTCATTAGAAACTCTTTCATAGGTAGATTAGCAGGAGTGAAATCACTGACCAACCGCATCCTATCGTTAGTGTCTGATCCAGTGAAGCTTTTAGGTATCGGGCGCTTACCGGATCGACCGGCAGAATTCTTTGGGTTTTTCTGCTACCGTTCATTTTGCTCTTCTTTAGGATTAAACACAAGCGTGCTACTCAATGTTTAGACGAATATTCTGAGTATACTTTAACTCCGGAGGTTAGGCCGGATTAGGGTAGGCTATCCCTGTAGTAAGCTATCCCGGGTTAGGACCCTCCCGTCCCGACTCCGCAAACTTCATCATTAATGTTCGTATGACCTAATCTTCAGTGGGGCCTGGTATTTTTGGCTATACTAATTCGCAACAGGGAACAGTTCCTCAGGCTATGGCAATTTAACACTTTAGAATATGACAGTTGGTGCCAGTATGCGAGACGGAGCGTCCGGGGGCCAGTTCCAATTTTTTCCGGTTACCTTCGGCCAGCACAGCGGATGCGTTTATGCCCTCTAAAGGCTAGACGCAGATCGTCCTGTCCATCTACGACAGTCTTTACGAGAGATTGATCAACTAATGCTTGTCAGGAAAATGTCAGTCGGTATTTAAAGTGGCACACGGATACCAGAAAAGAGACACGTGGCCGTCACATCTTTGATTGCACTGTAACAACAGAAAGAATATTTGGTCATTTTTGACCGCGCATTGTGGTTCCATCCGAGAAATTTGACATTATGTAACTGTGGCCAATGACAATTTATGACTTTTGATTCTAAAAAGTCTGAAGCATGATCAGGAAATTTGCACTTCTAATTGTTACGGTCTGCCAATGAGTATAAAAAGCAGTACTAATAGGACTGATCCCCAGCAATCCTGGCGGCGAAACTTCCGAGCACTAATGGACCAACGTGTGGTAAACGTACTGAAATGAAGCTTTTGGCCCACAGTGTGGGCGCGACCCAAGTGACACGATCGATGTACCCACAAGTGTCAAAGGAAAGGCAATACAGTCGTGACCGTAGCTGGGAATTATGACTGAAAGTGCATGAAAAGTGACTCGGTTTCATCTGGCACCGGACGGCCGAGCTCTGATACGAACGCTGTGACGGTAGTGAAGTTACATCGTCATTGCTGCCGTGTGTCGATTCGAAATAATCACCAATCAGGCGTGATCAGTGACGGAAACGTACCATTTGGACTTTCTGGTGAAGTATGGATCGATGGGATAGGTCCGCACGAGCGATTTACTTTCGAATTAGTTTCCCTACAAGAGATTATAGGCTTAGAGAAAGCATACAAAATTTTGACAGGCACTGCAGGGCCTCGCAGAAACATTGACTTTGAGGTTTTGATAGCCTTCATCGATTGTAATATAGCAATCTGGCGTATTTTCTGCGCTGGTTCTCAGATTACACTGACATTATCCAGTCTGCTAAGTGTCCGGTCAGTTTACATCTGTATTCCGCAAGTATCTTTCCGGCCCGATGAAAATCACGCCGTTCTGTACATCTTATCACGATAGAATTAAATTCAAGTTGACGAGAAATGCACTCATTTGCAAATCAATTTGGTTCTCACAAGGGACTCAACCAAATCTCTCGTTCACCATATGGGCTGTCGAAGAGTTTTCAGCAGCCTTGTGAGTAGTTCCCTTTATGAAAATATACTGCAATATCTCGAATACCAACTGAAACATGAGGCGGACTGTGTGAAGCACATTCAGTTGTAGAATATCATAAATGAGAGATTCAGTTGAGTCTCTCGTGAAAACCAAATTGATTTGCAAATGAGCGCATTTCTCAGAACAGTGCAATTTGGGTTAACGTAGAACAGAGGGTTGACGGAAACTCGGAGAATGCGCCTACCTGATGAGCCCCGAGTAGGGCGAAGCCGGTCGTGGGCTGTCGGAGAGTTTTCAGCAACCTTGTGAGTAGTTTCCTCTATGAAAATAAGTTCAAGTTGGTTGAACACCGAAATTACTGGATTCTTTTTCGGATAACATGACCGGTAGGTACCGTTGTTAGTGTCCAACCCATACTTCCGATAGCCTTAGCATACAGACAAAAATAAAAATTCCATAATCCAGTCCAAATAGTGCCGTTTGGTTTCAAGAGGCCGCAGATGTGCTACACTAGACTCGAAATGCACACAAGATCGGTGGATCGGCAGGAAAGGCCAAACCGAAGTCCCATGGAGAAATTCCGTTAGTATGTAGGAATAAACATACCTGCTCTAATAGATCAAAACGTCAAGAGTGATTACCGAATATCGTAAAGGAGTATGAAAAAATCATCCGAACGAACCTGGAAGCAATCATGACTGGACATTCTAGACACGCTTTTGTGTTAACAGAATGCCGTAGCCCGTTCTAAATATACACATCACCAAGTTTGTGCACATACCAGTGGAAAAAGCTTTCTTATAAGTTTCGGAAGGCGTGCTCTAGGTGAGGCTGGGATAATGTCATAGCCCATTCATCCACTCGCATTAAGTGTTTATTTCACGACGCAAATGAGTGCTTTGGTGACGCGCTAATCAGCTGCCAGCTCAACTACTTATGTTTGATTGTCGACAGTACATTTTGTGGCAGACGGACATCAACACGGGAACAACGAACTCACCAGCAAGCTGTTTATGTTGAAACACGGTGTTATCATATTGAACAGCTACAAGCTGCACAATTATGGCTAGTTTTTCTAGAATACTGTAGGGTTTCTCAATATGTTCATAACCAGATGTTATGCAACTACCAGCGAAAGACGGAAAAAAACGTCTAAAAGAAGTGACTAAAATGGTGCCATAGTCCACTTGAATTCAACTATTTGTAGGATTGACGCTAAACATTATTTTCCCAACCGAATTAAGTGCTTTTGTGCAGTTGGTCAACGTACCAGTTGTTTGATTGCTGACGATATACCTCCTGGTAATCGGACACCGACTCAGTAACAGGGGGCACACCAACAAGCCACTTGTGTTCAGCCATGGCAATGCCCAATCCCTCTGTAAGTTGGTCTTAAGGCGAGGCGAAATCTCCGGCAGAATAACGAATTACATCTGACGGCGGATACTGCGTGTGCTCCTGTCAAGTATAGTGTACGCAACACCAGCGTTACCCGCAATTTCAGCTTTTTTACTCCTGATCAGCTTAGGACAGTCAATTTTTGAGACACCGCTTAAAGAAGCTGTGCCAACTGAAGTCACCGTCACGCAAAAAACACCCTGCATGCTGAGGAGTCGTGGAACGCCTGTTAAGACCAATTCATTGATCCAAACGGTAAGTGTATTTGATCTGCATTCGATATGCGCCATTCGCAATGCCAATGAATAGAATATCCTCGTTCTTGATTCTTACTCACTGGCGGGCTACGCGAACAAAGCAGTGGTTCGCCTAATTATATTACTATATGGTACCCCCACTCTTGTTGTCACTGGCGAATTATTTTACACAAATAACCTATTTTGACTACACTACCATTGTAACAGTGGATACTACTACTGAGGCATGGGAGTAGAGTCTCCTCGTAAATCCGCTTCACGTCTCTTGAAAAGTGAGATATATTACGGAATTTGTGGAGTCGCTCTGTAGCATTTGCTTGCGTTTGAGTAACAGTCAATGATTATCCAGGAAAGTTCAGGAAGACGCGTTCAGGGAGAAGGTGGATATTCAGTTGTGTAAACAAGATGCATATGAGAGTTCCGCTCCCCTGTTCGACAGTCTGTGATTGTTCAGTTGGTGTTTTCTAATAAACAACCCCGCGGTGAAGGCCTTCCTTCTTTCACTCTTACCATATTGATGGAAATTCCCCTGAAGAAATTGTGAAAGTTGCATGCCACGTGTACCAACCTGCATGATTACCACTGATTCGCGCGTAACTGCCGCTACGATGAGACCTCTTAGACTCATGGTCATGGATTGGAATATTTCCAGAACCCGATAGCGCCACAGAAATCTAGTCATGAGATTAGGATTTAAAAAATGACGTCATTCTATTCTCTAACTTTCCTCCGTTAGGTACACATTGTTTCAACATATTTTTTCTTCAAATTTTAAATTTTAAACATCTGCGGTTGTGTTGCTTCCAGCCGTGACTGGTACAAGTAAGTCGGTAGTTGATAGGCATAGGACGAACTGAAAAGAGCTTGTCTATCAAGCGATATTTCGCCCGCATTGTTTCCAATTTACTGATAAAGCGTATCGCGACAGGAATCTCGTCCTGCAAGTGAAGCCAGTCTATGTTGAAAACAGAGAAGCACTGCACAACTGTTTTGTACTTGGTGAGATTCCTCAGCAGTGCACATCTCACAAAACTCCATAGAGTCTCGGACATGCATTCGCCCGGCTAGTAGTTTGAACACAAGCGTTTTTCGATGACCGACTGATCAACAGCGTTACTAACCCAATAAGGATGAAATAGCAATGCAGTTCCTCTCGACTTTTCAGCGTAGATTGGCTTTCCTTACAGGACAAAATCCCAATTGAAAATTACCGAATCACTTCAGACTGCGAAAATATTTGTAGTTTG